TCCAAATTACCTAAAATGCTATTGTTTTGATTGCTTTGCCAATCATTTCACCCATCACGTGCTCAATTCCAACCTTAATATAACCAAAGATGCTGCACAGACTCATCATAACCAAAGATTTTCCTGATGCTTTCCCCGTGGCAACAAACAAACAAACACCTTGCTTTTTCTGCATGGATAATTGTACTCTGTATATCTCTCTGAAATAATGTCGAAGAGTTTCAGGCAATCAGGCTGATCTTACATGTTTGTCATTTGTCTTTAGGCTTCCATGTAGCTCTGGAATAAGCACTTGTGTAATGTTGAAGAATGGGTATAAAAGCACTGTTGATGATAAAATTGAATAGAAGATCTGCCATTGGATAAAAATTCATGTCTTTTCTCTTTCGTTTTTTTTTAAACAATTATTGAGGCTTGTTCTTATGATAATTGTTACAAATGGTTCCATTCCTTCTCCCTGCAGTAGTCTTGTTTACCATAAGGTATGCATTAAACTTACATTTTATATCTGCATCTCAACCATATTGTATATCTAATTATGCTCACTTGAATTAAGTCCAGGATGCCAATTGACTAACAATTGCTCAAAGGAAAAAGGTTATGTCTAGCAAAAGTAGATAAAGGATACATCCTCCTTAATGAAAAAGTGCTTACTATTTTGTTATTAAAGAGGAAAAATTATGAATACCTTTTAAATTATAACTTATTGGATCAAGTTATTGATAAGTGATCAAAAAGTCAAATTATTGTAAATAGTATTATTCTATTTATATTATTAATTGAATTTTTATATATACACATATATTTCATTGAAGGTAAAGTTTTTTAATTTTTTTATGACAAGCTCATATCACAAGTCTTGGCTGATGAGTTTGGATCAAAATGCATGACAAGAAAATAGGAAATGCAAAGACTAGAACTTATATCTACCTGCTTCAAGAATGAACCATTCAAGCATATTATGTTTGTGATCTCCGAGCTGCTTCTTATCACATCCTATATATTCTTTGCAAGTGTATACATAAGTATATCAATTAATTTATGATAACAGCTCTATATATTTGTATATTCGTTCTATTTATTTTTTTACAATTCTATAATTTAGTTTGTATAGATTTAAGATATTGGAGGCAAATTAAGAATTTATATATTAATAAAATACAATTATGATCCAGAAAGTAAGTGCAATATACAAATGTTCTCTATTTATTTATTTATTTATTTTTTTCTTCTATTGAAGAAAACTCTCTCTAGAGTTAGAAATTTAAACAGAGGAGACGCAATGTTTTGATCTTGGAAACAAGTCAGTTCTGCTTCCTCTAGTAGTCAGCTGAGAAGCAATCCCAAATCTTAATAAGAAGCCGCTCACCTTCTTTGCAAGATAGAAAAACAGAGGAGTATTTATTTATTGGGGGAATGAATGAAAGGCTAGAGCATCTCCTCACTGGTAGGAAACGATAGTGACACGTGGTGGGTCCTTTTTTTTAATAAGATATCGTGTTTATATGTTTTTAAGTATGTGTTTATATGTTTTCAGTATTTGATTAACGGTAATTATAAATCTTTAAATATTTATTTCAAGAATTTTTTATTAAAACATTATTTCAATAATAGACAATTCATTAATTACAAAAGAAATTATATGTATAATCTTAACAAGAATTTATAAGTAGTGTTTAACATTTGTCAATTTTTAATACAATTAGAGTATGCACATGTAATGCACTCGTGTCATATAGGTAAAATAATATTTGTTTAAATATATGTCCACTTTAATAATTATAGTGCTCACTTTACCTAAGTAATCATGAAGCTATTTGTCAACTGCAATATGTACAAAAAAGGTAAAAAATCAATTAATTATTTAAGTGGTAATTTATTTTAAGAGTTATGAATGTAAATTGCAGTATATAATTTAAGAACACATAAAATACATTAATTGACATTACTTAGTGATTTCAACGACCTTAACATTTGGTATCTATACAACTTCTTTTCCAATAGTGACAATAAGTATTTTGTTCTTCATAAAGTCGTGAAAGAATAACCAAAAAGGAAAAAAAAAAAAAACCTAAACTTAGTCTCACAATGAGTAAAGAATAAAAGTTTGAATAAACAAATTAAATGATATAAAAACATTTAAAACTTACATCAAAGTTTTTAGTTTCTGCATAGAAATAATAACATTATAAAAAAACGTAATAAAAATCAAAATAATAAAAATTAGATAAATAGAAAATCAGGGAATGAATTATTCAATTAATTATTTTTTTTATTCTTATCATTTTTAAATAAATTTCATAAATTTGAATTAATGCATAAAATAAAATAAATAATTTAAAACGTAATACAATGGGAAGAAAGTAAGATGAAGAAGAAAAGAGAAAAATAAAAAAGAAGACAACTTATCTCTATCTAATCTATTCAATCAATTAAAAAAACACAAATATATATTTATATTTATTTTTCTTCTCTTTGTTCGGACTCTTTAACCCTCCTTGTCTCATGCTTGCTTGATCTCTCCTTTCTCCTCTTTCTCCACTCCATTCAGGGCCGGCACTTGGATGAAGCCACCTAAGCAAGGGCTTTAAGCCCTTAATTTGGGAAGATTCTATAATTTTATAATATAATTAATTATATTAAAAAAATATAAAAATAAAAAATAATTAATAAAATTACTTATTTTTTATTTTATTTCTATCATTTTTAAATTTTTAGAATGTTATATTATTTTCAATTAATTAACAGTCATATGTATTTAATTACCTCTAACAACTATTTTTTTCTCACTTATTTCTCCTATTTCCAATCAACATTATTTTTAACAACTTTTCTTTTCTTATATATAAAACCAATTATTTTTTTTTCAATATATAATATCTACTTTTGAATTTTTCTTTTTTCATTTGCTCTTTCTTCCTTCTTTCTTTAATTTTAATTTTCCTCTAAAGAATACATAAGAAATCTGTTACGTTATTATATTCATAAAGTCATGAACCTCATTTGCATTTTGCAATAAGTATTCAATAATTAGATACTATTGTTCTAATATTTACAGACTTTTTTATTTTAATTTAAAATTTATATTATATTGTTATATTACCTTTATTTTATGTGATAGTTGATTAATTTGAATTAAAAATTTTAATTGTTGATTTTGTATTAACCATTTAAAAAATATAAAAATTTTACATCTCAAAAAGCTAGAAAATTAAAATTTTAATAAATTATTTAATTTTAATAAAAGAAGACTTAATTGAATATTTCGTTTTAAACCTTCGAACTTATTGAGCAGCCCTTGACTCCATTCTCTTATTTTTTCTCTAGATTCTTCCTCTAACTAAGAGAGGAAGCAAGAAAACAGAGAAAGAAAATTTTGAAACCATGGTATTAGGAAAAGACGAAAATGCCATGACCTCTAAAAACACAAAAACCATCAAAAACCTCTTAACCTTTTCAAGGATGGCAAGTATGTTCTAAGGGTTCAATTGGCTATGCCACGTGGCTAGCAATTAGACCCTTAATTGTCTCGGACAACTTTTAATGTATATAGATTGTTTTTTTCTTTTACGCAAATACCATTTATTATTCAAGTTTACATAAGTTGAGACACAAATTTAAGATGTTGAAGTCAAAAGGAATCCAATTTTTTCAGTATTTTTTTATTTAACACTAAATCTTAAAGATTAAAATCTATAAAAATTAGTTTATCATGTTTCAACCAAATAAATAAATGACTAAAAAATAAGTTTTTAATAATGGGATAGAATAAAACTTAAAAAAGTATCCTATAATGATACAATATATCGATTCGAATAAATTTCTTTTCATAGAACAATACCTATCCCATATTGTATTATATTAATAATTATAATTTTAACTTAAAATTCTTCTGTTCTAGTTAGCTTGAACAAAATGCTTTAAATATTTTTCTAGTAATTAGTTAAAGTACTCAATTTGGCCATTAGTCTAGAGATGATAATTGAAAGAAATATTAAGTTTCGACCCTAACAGCTTAAAGAGTTTTTTCCATAAGGAACCAGTAAACCTCGAATCTTTATCATTAATAATGCTCTAAAGATACTTTAATATTTCACCACATGTTTAAAAACCATGTGTACAAGTATTTCACAGTACCAAATTTTTGGACTAGAATGAAGGTAACGTATTTAGAGAAGCAATCCACCACAATTAGGATAGATGTTAGATCTCCAACTTTAGGGAAGCCTACTATGAAGTCAAGAGAGATAATTTATCAACGTTTGATATAGCCAAGGCCGATTCGTTGCTTAAAGCACTTAAAACCTTCACTGTTGCGGAGCTTTTGGATGGAGGGGAGAAGCAGTATCAATGCCAACGCTGCAAGCAGAAAGTTAGGGCAATGAAAAAGATCACAGTTTACATTACAAAAGCACCTTATGTACTCAACATCCATCGAAAGAGATTTCCTGCACATGAAATCAGTAGTCAGTGGTTCCAAAATAATAATTATAACCTTTATTATATTTTTTCATTATATTTAATATAGTTTATCATATTTACGTCTATATAACCTTTTAGCCAAGGTTGATGTAGATGTTTTTATTTATTTATTTCATAACATAGTCAAAAGAAAAAGTGAAATTGCGCTTTTTGATCTCTAATAAACAAAAAATATAAGAGAAAGTTTATTTAAAAAAGTTAGTTTTCAGAAAATGCTAAAAATAAAAGAAACGTGCAAAAAAAGAAACCTAAAAGTTTGTAAAACAAGTTTAACTGGAATTTATAAATTTTAATTAAGATTATTTAAAAGAATTTTATTTATTTAAGAATAGGCAATTCATTAATTACAAAAATATTTTTTTATATGTATAACCTTGAAAAGACTCTATAAGCACGGTTTAATATTTGCCAATCTTTTAATACTATGTTTATGATGCTTCTTTCCTATTAGAGTGATAGCAAATTTCATTTATTATTCAAGTTTACACAATCTTTAATATAGTTTCCGATAAAATATGTTGAGCCGAGATATATATTGCAGGAAATGTACCAATTTATTCAGTACTTTGCACTGCATATATTTATTTCAACAAAAAAAAAAGGTGTGAATTACTTCGACAATAGAATAAAAACGTTATAAGCAAAGTTGTTGATTCTTATTCCATCCCCACTCCAAGCTTAATTTGCCTCCGATGATCATTACTTAAAGCTGATCTAAGTTCTCTAGGTCACATGTTTGCGTTGCAAAAGCGGGTCAGTCGCTGAATTTGTCTATCTCCGAACATAATAATACAGTGAAAAGAAACGTATATCGAAAACAATGCGAATAATAAAACAGTTCCTGCGGGATATGGACACATGATAAGAAGAAACATCGAATAGCAACCTGACAAGCCAAATAGTAGTGCTGCCACTATTTCCCTAGCCACGGTATCTGGAAGGAGAAGATTAACTATGGTGGATGCAAAATAGAGGATTGAACTGTTGACCGACACCTCCAACGTAGAACCGTAGGCCGTAGCTGCTGCAACATTCCGCGATGGTCCTCCATGAATACCGCTATTTGTAAGATTGGTGCTGAGATTATTGTCCTCACGAAAACTACCAGGGGGATTGTACATAGTTTGGCAGGTACCTGCTATAATCAGCCCAGCAACCACTAGCAAAGCATTGAGTACATCGCCTGAGATACTCATTCTCTGGCGTTTGATACAAACCGCTAATCTTTCAGGAAACAGTGTCTTTGATCTTAAGAAAGCAGTAAGCCATTCAATACTTTCAAGTGATGAAGCTGTTACAACTGGAGTGTGGCGCCTTAGCATTTTAAGAACTGCTCTTCTATCCAATTGGGTTTGACGTTGCAGGATCTGTGAAGCATCTTCACCTTTACTATTCTTAGCATTTATTTCAGCTAACAATTGAATGGCCTGCATGTATTGTGCACAAAAACACTGATTCAGGGAAGAGAAATTAATTATTAATGCAAAAAGGAAACAGAAGGAAAATAGAATCTAGAAATTAGATAAAATAAATCAAAAATATTAAAAAGCATTTTCTAATCAGTAGAAGAATTAATTTTGTTGGCATATAAATATTAGCTCTTGCTCTGCTTTCTAGTTGCTGCTATGATTGTCCATGCCACTGAGTTAGTCTGTCTTAATTAATGGTGATGTTAGTTGATAGATCATGGAATTCTGTAAAGTAGCTATATTTTTCTTCCCGGAGGAGGGTCCAAGCTAAGATCCCCGTTTTTAGAAACTCCAAAAAAAATTTGCAGAGGTATGAGAACATGCCTGAATTTGCATATTGGATACTGCAATATCCAATGCAGTGTTTCCTTGCTCATCCTTCCAATTTGGAATGAATGCCACCCAATCTAAGGCATCTTTGTGGCAGATTCTCTGCAACCATCCGACAAGAACTTCAAGAGCCTCTAACATGTTTGTTTTAACAGCAATGTGCAAAACAGTCTCACCTCGAACTGTCACATCTCCAATAGACTCTGGGCAAGCTACTAGGAAATTAACCATGGGATAGATGTTTTCATGTTTGATAGCATAATGTAAAGGAGTAAGACCCCATCTTCCTTTGACACGAACGAGACCAGGATCAGCATGAACAAATAGGGACACCAACTTGAAATGTCCATTTATGAGGGCAAGGTGCATGGGGCTAAACCCAGACTTGTTTAACTTTCTGGTGAAGGAAGGCATCAAGTTAATCATCTCGGCTGCAAAATGAGTTTGCCCAGAACAAGCTGCTAAGTGTAGGGGAGTATCTATGAACATTTTCTCATCAATTCGCCTCAAAATATCATCATCCTCCCAAATTAGTTTATACAAGGCATCTATATCACCCACTTGAGAGGCCTGAATCAAAGCATCTTCCATTCTAAAGACACTTGAAAATTCTTGAAAGGTGGAAGTAAAACAAGGAATACAAATATAAGATTTTGAGGTAAAGAACTATTGAAGAAAATGGAGTGAGACCAATTACCAGGGCTTAGCTCCGCAGAGCACCTTATTTCGAATTTATAGCCATCGTACTCGTTTCTTTACCTGGTCTTTTTCACAGACGAAGGAAACATCGATGTAAACTTCTGATGAAGGTGAACTGAAACCCAACACAAGTTGAACGCAGGGAACATGGGTGTGAACTTCAGATGGAAATAAATATTCCATTTTCTACTTAAGCAATAAGCAAAGTTGCTGATTCTTATTCCATCCCCACTGCAAGCTTAATACGCCTCCGATGATCATTATTTTACCACCGTACATAATGGCATAAACAAGATAATATGCGATAAGATTCTTTTACTTTTATTTAAAGCTTTTTACTTAGAAAAATAACGCAAAACAAGGGAAAATGCTTTCTTCTAGAGTGCTTTTCCAGTAACGATAGCCATTTCATTTAAGAGTATTGTTTCATGTATTGATAGTAAGCATTCGAATATGTCTCATTAATTAATTCGTAGCCTCCTGTCTAAAGAGTTGAGTTTCAATCTCTTTTCCTTCCAATTAAAAGAAATTGCACATATGAATCTTTCTATCTAAGGCTCAAAGAAAATGTCGCTGTTCATGATAGAGTTTCAAGAGCGGCTTTTAATTAGACATGGAAATCTAGTAAGTAACATGCAAGTAGTTACTATGTTGTAGAAGAACCTTACCATGTGTTTTGACCATGTATTTATTTATATTTCTTTTTGGAAAATGAAACTTGCATTAATAGAATTATCCGACCTTTTACCAGAAGCATCTCTTATTGTAAGGGATACAGAAATGGGAGTTATTCCAGTTCAATGCTTAGTTAACAATCAGGCGCCTAACCCAGCTCCAGATAAGTAGATTTGAACTAATTTTGCTCATCCATACGTGAGTGTGTCTGTGTGACTGTGTAACAAATTTGCATCAAAATCTCATCTGTTTTGGAAAAAAGAGAGTGATAAGGAGAATGACAAAAACGGATAATAAACACAGGAAGTACACAAGGCTTTGGGCTGTTGGGGAAAGATTACTTGAACAATAGCTAGGAATAGAAGGATCGAGCCAGTTCTGGGACGAGATAAGGCTCAATGGGCTTTCGAAGAACAGACTTGTAGGAATTTATTTTATGGGCCTGCCTTGGGTTACATTCAGATAAAGAAATACTGTGGTTTTATTTTATTTTATTTTTGATAAGAAGGAAAGGGAAAATGTCTACCGTAAATGAATATATGGATGAAGAAAAGCAATGTATTGGGATGGGAAAAAGGCTATCTGAATTATTTTAGAATTTTTTTGTGATCTTACAAAGAGCCAAGGCGTTGAGACAAGTAAAAAACAAACTATACTTTGAAAACCTCATAATTGGCATCTTTCCTTACAAAACATCCAAGTCCCAGCTTTTAATGCTTTGGCATCTTGGTTCCTTTGCTCGTTTTTCCATTGAAATCTTTAAATTTCGAACTCCCAAAATATTTCTTTCCTTGTCAAAAAAAACCAACCACAAGATGGGGGGCAGCCGGCTGTGCCCACTCCATAGCAATTTGGTACATGGCGTGCTTTGCTCTTCTCATGCATGCAAAAGTCTGGGGGGCCTTTCAGGACTGCCTTCCAAATTACCTAAAATGCTATCGTTTTGATTGCTTTGCCAATCATTTCACCCATCACGTGCTCAATTCCAACCTTAATATAACCAAAGATGCTGCTCAGACTCATCATAGCCAAAGATTTTCTTGATGCTTTCCACCTGGCAAAAACAAAGACCTTGCTTTTTCTGCGTGGATAATTGTACTCTATATATCTCTCTGAAATAATGTCGAAGAGTTTCAGGCAATCAAGCTGATCTTACATGTTTGTCATTTGTGTTTAGGATTACATGCAGCTCCGGAATAAGCACTTGTGTAATGTTGAAGAATGGGTACAAAAGCATTGTTGATAATAAAGTTGGAGAGCAGATCTGCCAATCAGACTGTCAATTGGATAACAATTCATGTTTTTTTGTTTTTTGGAAACAATTATTGAGACCTTTTCTAATGATTGTTACAAATGCTTTGATTCCTTCTCCCTCCAATAGTCTTATTTACCAAAAGGTATGTATTGAACGTACAATTTATATCTGCATCTCACCTCTTGTGTATGTATATAATTATGCTCACTTGAATTAAATCCGGGATGCCAATTCAGTAGCAATTGCTCAAAGGCAAAAGGCTTTGTCTGGTAAAAGTAGATAAGGATAGATCCTCCGTAGGTGAAAAAGTGCTTACTATTTTTGTTGTTAAACATAAAAAGTTATGAATACCTTTCGAATTATAACTTATTATATCAATTCATTAAGTGATCAGACCATCGAATTATGATAAAATAGTATTATTTTATTTATATTATATATATCTATAAAAATATATACATTTATACAGATAAATATACACGTATATTTTATTTAAAAGGGAGAGTTTTATAATATTTTTTATTACTAGCCCATATCACAAGTCTTGCATGAGGACTAAATCAAAATGCATGACAAAAAAATAGGAAAAGCAAACGGTAGAACTTATATCCACATGCCTCAACAACGAACCACTCAAGCATGTTATCTTTATGTTCTCCGAGCTGTTTCTCACATCTTTTATATTCTTTGCAACAATATATAAGTATGCCAATTATTTTAAAGTTATATGTAATCAAGAAGTGATAACAACCCTATATATATATATATATATAGTTGCTACAATTTTATTTTATTTTACAATTCTATACATTATTTTATATAGATTTGAGATATTGGAAGAAAATTAAGAAATTATATATTTAAGAAAATACAACTATGATCCTGAAAATAAGTGTAATATACAAATGTTAAGCATTTTCTATAGAGATGCGTTTTAAGTGCATTTTTTCCTTTCTTTCATCTACAAGTTTGGAGGTATAGCAAATTTTGGAATCAACAACAAGCGAAAGAAAAGAGATTTAGAACAAATTCAAACTGAGGATGACATGAAATCGCTTGGTGCAACTGCCATTTTTGAAAGACATGTAAGCGGTGTGATAGACATTTAATGTTGTTAATGAAAATAAAATATTAAGCCATAAAATTGTATATTGAATTCAAAATATAAAAACTTTGTCTTGGGTCGTGGAAGGATAAACTTATGTAAAGAGCATTATTTTATAAATTCACTTTATTATTTATTCCTTTAAAATTGGAATATTCTTAAATTTCAAGCTGAAGATAACTTTTAATCATACTAGATGTCGAGATAAAATATTTTTATTATATTTTGTCCATTATAGTTAATATATTTTATTATATTTACATCAATATAATGTCATAATTCATTATTTATATTTTTTATTTTATAACAAAATAAAAAAAAAGTGAAATTTCCTTCTTTGACTTGAAAAATCTAGGAAAAAGTTGTTAAACAACTGTACCCTCTACTTAAGTTAGCTTTTAAGAAATGCCGAAAAATGGCTAGAAGAGTTAAAGAATCGCAGCAAAAAGAAGCTTAAAACTATAAGACAAAATTGATAAATGGGTATTTATAAACACTTTTTAAAGTTATTTCATTATTTATTTCAAGAATTTTTTTATTTAATGTATTATTCTCATCAATATTAAAAATAGACAATACATTAGTTACAATTTATTTTTATTTGTATGTCCTTACCAAGAATCTATAAGCATCGTTTAATATTTGCCAATTTTTAATACCATGTCTGATTTTTTTTTTCTAGTAGAGTGATAACAAATGGCATTTATTATTCAAGTTCACACAATTAATATAGTTTATGATAAAATATGTTTGTTTCTTTTTTACCCGACATATATTGCAGGACATGTACGAATATAGTAAGTACTTTGCACTGCTTATATTTATTTCAACAACAACAAAAAAAAAGTGTGAATTTCTTCTGCAATAGAATAAAAATGCTATAAGCCAAAGAACATATAATTAATTAAAAGGTAGGACACAAATTTATCAATTCTTTCCTACAAACACATATATATACTAACATAATCATCTAAAAAAAAGTAAAAATGAAGTACATACATATATTTATTCTCCACATTGTTCTGTAGTACTGCTTGTATGACTAGGTCAATAACAGAAATAATGGAGCAATGGAAAAATGTTGGGACAACATTAATTATGTAGCTCACAAAGTAACCAATGCCCTGGTTAAATGGTCCCTTTACCTTGCTCCAATAATATATGCTGACATGAAAGGGTGCAATGTTAACAGAAGAGTATTAAATTTGTCCCTTCCACAGGTAGGGAGGGGATGACAAATAGCCAAATAGGGCTATGGTGCTAAACCTAAACTCAGACAGAGCCCCATGTGAAGAAGCTGAATGTAGCTGTTAGATGGAAATAGTGAGTAGGGAGACCCCATTCTTTCGCCATCTCCCCATCCCACCACCTAACTCAACCGCCCATTTAATGCTATTAGATAGACATCCCTTTCTTTTGGGAGGAGCATTTAATGCAAGAAAAACATCAAATCTTTTCCATATCGAATAATGTTGTTTATGGGTTTTATCTATTGATGAAATAATGAGTCACTTTCTTAGCAAACCCAAAAGCCAGATGTGATTTTTTTGCAGAAATAAGATACTAAAATTATGGCTGAAATACAAGAAAATTGACAGTTGTGATAACAGTACATTTGACACATACTTATCAGCTGTAGATCAGTCACCATCATCCAAGGCAGCAAAACCTAAGATTAAGTAGTAATAAAGCTTTATATATTACAGGCATGAGATTGAAATCTGGCTGACATTAATCAGCAGTCCTTTTCCTAGCCTACCTCCAATGACAACATAATTTAGCAATTAATTAATAATAGAAAGTTCAAACCGAATTCCTCAAGTTCCTAATTAGAAAGTCCACATGCAATCAAGCTCAGTATGACCCATGGACATCTTGCCACCAGCACCAGAACCACCGTTACCTTCTTCGGACACTGCCCCCCAGTTCAGGGAGGAGCCACTGTGGGGTGGCGGTGCCGCCAATGCTGGAGGGGAGAAAAAGAAGGGTAAATGCAAATTCTCCTGAAGAGACCTTAAGCTAGGAAATGCTGAAACACCCACATTTCTCGAAAACCTTGCGATCGGATCAAAAGTATTGTTGATCATTTGTGGTGGTTGCACTGCAAGGTCAAAACCAGGGTTGAAGGCAGGATGTGCAGCTGGGGTGGTGGCAGCAGCGGAGGCAGCTGCAGCAGCAATGGTGGAGAAACAGGACACGTGCTCGGGTTGGGAATGGCTGTCGTAGGAGCAGCTGTCACGATCTGTGAGGGAAGTGGCAGTAGTGGCAGTAGCAGCTGTGGTGGGATCCAGGAGAGGCGGAAGGGAGACCGAGGAAGGGGAGCTTGGTTCTTGGTAAAGAGCCACGGAGGCGTTCGTGCGCGTCTTCTTGGCTCCTCCGCCAGTGCTGCTGGTGGCACCACTGCCAGAGCCACTCTTCTGAAAGACCCTGGATATGACCCATTCGTCCTGGAATAATAAAAACAGTTTAGCAAGTAGCAAACGCTTTTCTTTCCATCCAAAGTCATTGGTGGTTAATGCAACAGTGAAACAAAGGATCAATATGTATTTTACGGTATATACTTGGAAGATGAATCAACACTTCGACGTTGCTCTTTTGCAGGAGAATGGCAATTGCACAAAAATGAGTACTTGCATAAGCAATCATAGAAATCATCCGTAAAAGATATTGAAAGAAAAAACTTTACTAGGGACCAGAAAAAAGAAGAAAGTAAGCTGCATGTTACTGTGATCTCGTATTACCTATAGTAATCCGAAATATGTCGCTGCAAAAGCCCTTGGAGTGCAAAGACAAACACTGAGATAATATTGCTTTTGACAGACAGATTAGTGAGATTCAGTTCCTTGTTAAAAGTCCAAATCATTAAGAGGTCATATTACTGTTAGATTTTGCATTTTCAGTGTTAACCTGAAAAAAGGGCTGGAAAGCTCATGGAAAGTAGCCAAAAAAAGGGGTAAAGGAACAAAGCTTTTAACACAGATTAGTGAGTTTCACTTCATGGTTCAAACAGGACCCATTCCTTTAACAGGCAATGTTACTGTTAAAATCTTAGATTTTCAGACTTAAAAAGTGAACTGTGAAAGGTTTTGCCATTGGAATGAGTGTAGGGGAAATGGAAATTAACAATTTCAAACAGGTGCTAGTATAGTAGCTTTATGGAATAATGATGCAGAAATTGTGGGTATTGAAATCCCAATGAAGACAAGCTTTTCTACTGTCTTCAAGGCAGTGCAAATGCTATTAAGATTTCCCAACATACCTTTTCAGCTCCTTAAATGAGAGAAACAGCATACGGAAGCATTAATAGTGTGCATTTGTAAGCAAAACCATAACTACCATTAACTTCCTACAACACAGACCATTGCCTATGAAAATTTCAGCTCTGGTGGGAAGCAAGGATGAAGCAAAAGAGTACGAGTACCGTTACCAGATGGATCACAGATTGACCAGGAAAATGGGGAAAAGCCTAACATTATCTTATCATAGATTCCCACCCCAACCCTCAATGGAAAGCATTGTTCAGAGTTTAGGTTCATGGGAAAACCTAACTTTTTAAAGATGATTTTGTGAATGATCAACAAGTTAGAAGTAAACATAACTTCTTTGTTCTGGAATTTATCATACAAAAAGATGCATAAGGTGAGAGAAGGAGAAACCTTGGAGCTTCTGGAGAGATAATGGTAAGCAAATTTGCCTTCCAGGCGATATTCATGCATGACCCAGTTGCTCTTTTCTCCTTTAGGAGCTCTTCCTCTATAAAAAACTAGAGTCTTCTTCATTCCAACAAGTGCACAAGTCTTTGAGCTATAAATCTCCCTATCTTTTCCCGTAGCCTTCCAATAACCAGCTTCAGTTGCTCGGTTAGTTCTCAACCCAGTTGGGTACTTCCTATCTCTCAAACTGAAAAAGTACCACTCTTTTTCCCCCATCTTTGCCTTCTCTGCCATATCACACCAACACAAACCAAATAAAGGAGTTAATATCATAACAACAATCACTTACGTTTAACGATGAAAAGGGTAGTCAGCAAAAATGATAATGATCACTTACCAGGAAGTTCCCAAGGCTCGCACTTGTTAAGGTCGACCTCAGCTATAGCTCTACCAGTAAAGCTACTATCAAGAACCTTTTTCAAGAGATAGTAAGTAATAAGCTCTTCATCAGTTGGATGGAATCGAAAGCCAGGAGGTAAGTGAGTATCACCGTTGTCAAAATGATGGTAACTATCCATATCGAGAACCAAACAACAAAACCTTCACCCCAACTTCAAAGAGAACAACAAACACAGCCCTTGCCAGCAAACTTCTAAAAAACCCTAAACTTCAAAACCAAAGCTTTAACATCATGAAGTTTAGCTAAACGGTTTGCGTTCGATGAGGAAGGAAGAGAAACGAGGGAGGGGGAGAGAGTTATATGGGGGTGTCAAAGCGGGATTTGATGAATCCAGTGACTGACAGAATAAAAAAAATAGGCAAAAAGATTAATTAAAAGAGGGAGAGTATGATCTGGAGCTGGAAAAATCTCTGCGTTTTTTCTCTGCTCTGTCCTCTTCCGCAATCTCTCTCTGTCTCTCACTCTCAATGGCTAAGGATTATGATAAGGGGCAAAGAGAGAGAGGGTGATGTATGTGTCTGAAGGGAGTGGGCTCTGGGGTTCTGTTTTGAGTATGCGTGCGTGCGTGAGAAAGTGTGCAGGTATTCTCTGTCAGTGAAGAAAATGAAAGGGAGGGAACAGAAAGTAGTTTTTATGAGAGAGGTCCTTTTAAGAGAGAGAGAAAGGAAAAAGGGGTAGAGATGGGGGGAGGAGGGGCGATGAGAATTGAGAGGAGAGATTTCACCATGTATCGATAAAGCTGTTTCATATCTCTCCTGTCAGCAGAGTACAAGATTAAATTATCAACTTGACAGAGACATTGTAATTACACGCCACCTTCTCCCTCCCCCATCCTTCCCCTTATTCCCATTTCCCTATATATCCTACTCCTTTAATCTTCAATTAACTTTAAAACAGTAACAACCAGCTTACCATTATATTGCAAATATAGAGAGTATTATGATTTGCCAAGTGTGCAACATGTAAGACCAACCCTATACCATAAAGGCTTAATGGGTGAAGGGACTTTGAGAATTGTTTACTGTCTTGTATTGGGAGTTCTTATCTACCTGATTGAATTAAGTCAAGAAGATCATTTGTTTTTGGTGTTTTTTTGTTCATTTGTGCTAGTTCTAGGGTGTCCTTGAAGCCAGAAATGAAAAGCCATGGTTGATGGATTCCCTATTATTTCCAGAGTAAACTTGTGGTTGCTATTCCCCCTTTCCCCTCCACCCCATATTATACATGACATGTTTATGGTATTGAGGTACAAACCACAGTTTGACACATAAGACAAAAATATTTCCCCAGGGAGTAAGCAAACAAAGCAAGGTGGCAAAGGAGATTTCATTTTTACCCCCCCCTCCTGCTGTTTTTCTTCCAGGCATGTGCCCTTGTGGCTATGAAAATTCTACAGGCACTTGGTTTTTTTTTTTCCTTCCTTTTTCTTTGTTATATACAAAATGTGAATTTGCCTTTATTTTGGTAGGAATTGCAGACAAATTCTACAGTGCATGGCCCCCTACCTATTTTTTGATGGATTGAATGCTGAGTACTGGGTTAGGTGACATTCTCAGCTAGGCAAAAGATAAAAAAAATTAAAAAAAAAACTGAAATTTTCAGACTGAATTATGGACATCAATAAAGTATAGGAAAAATCATTTAAAATCAATTTAATTACTAGAGACTTCATATCAAAACCACAACTCATCCCATTGTTTCAAGAAAATAAAATTATTCTCAGATTGTTGTAACATTTATATGTCTTCCTCTTAGTATTTCATTTTCAAGTATAATGAATTTGGAAGTAAGAATTTTATAAAATAAGTAAGAATTAAGAATGTGAATAGATCTGTAGTAGGAGCAATATTGTCAGGTGGTTAAATAAGACAAGCAAAAAAATTAAACAGTGAGGCTTCTGATCCTAAAATCTTACGAGTACTTTACTATTCAGTTATTTATCACATAGACTATTCAGATTATGGTCTTCCTGCAAAATCATTATGTCTTTTTTATTATATTTAATAAAATATTTATTTTTTATTTGAAATTAAATAAATTTTTATAATGAATGAGTGATTAATTATTAGCAATTAAATTAAAACTCACTTGCTACTTTTATATTCACTTTATGTAGTTTCGAAAAATAAAAATATCATGTACTTATTTATTATAATATATTAATATATTATATAATATAAAATTATAAATAATAATTTGACTAACATAAGAATAAATAATCATTTATTAATCATAAAGATTTATTTTATTTAAAATAAAAACATAAACTTATTATTTATTATAATAAAATAATAAAAAACTTTATTTAAATTTTTTCAAATAATTTAAAATATTTTGATAATTTGTTTTTTCTGAAATTTTTAAATAATGGAAAAATTCATATTCCAAGTACTGTAATAATGAATAGATTGCAAGACAGTAGGAATTTTCTCTCATGCTTTTGATTGATGCATTTAACTGTTCATTCTGTTCTAGAGAGAGATATATCAAATTGAAAATCTTTATGGATTCCTAATATTACAAAAATCACACAATATTCACTGCCCATCTTTTGTCACATATCATATCAAAAATAGTAAAAAAAATTAAAAAAAAAAAGACAATCTAACAGGATTTTCTATCAAAATCAACTGATCCAAAATAGGATTCAATTTTATATCATGTTTTCATTAAAAGTTCAGAAAAATGTGCCCAATTCTCAGGCTTTCCTTTTGCCATATCTACACTGAAATCCCCAAAATCAAACAAAATAATATTTACTGAAAGTAGACAATTCCTTAAAAAAAAAAGGGAATAAAGAGAAATTAGAGAATAAAAAACAGAAAAGCTGAGAGTGGTTGGTGAAGTGGACTTGATGATTTTACAGCTAGAAGACACATCACGTACAGACAGGCTGCCTTGCTTCTGTTTCCCTTTGCAAATTTTCCTTTGTCTAGTCCTTTGATTTCGTTTTCATTTTTAAATTTAAGAATAATAGACTTGTATATATTTATCAATTTTATGTAAAATGATACAAAGGAGTTCAATTTTTAGTATTTAGATTTAAACAAACTTGAAAAAGCAATGATCAGCTTCACTGAAGTTCATATAATTTTTTTTAATACAACCCAATTAGTTCAAATTGATTTTTTTAATAAAATTTAAAATAAATAGATTATTCTGTTAAATTTTTTACGAAATTAAAATACAGACTTACATTAATTTATATTTTATATTTTATCAAAATCAAGTTAAAATAATGTGATCTTGATAAACAAATAGTATTATAATTTATAATATGATTTAATAAATTGAAGTAAACTCTTATATTTAAAAGTTAATTTGAACATGTAATTTTTGTAAAAAAATTTAAATCTCACGACAGATGAAGCAAAAGATTCACTTTTAAATGTATGGTTAGGTTTTTTCTTTTGTTTACAACAATATCAAGATGACCCAATGAGGGTTACTGAAAATATATTAGTATGTTAAATCTCGATAATTAATCTAATTAATATAATTTTCACTATTAAATCATCTATCAAAAGTTGTATACATTTTATGTAAACTAATTATTCATAAAATTTAAAATATTCAACTAAAATTAAAATATAAATATATAGTTTTCGTATTCACTTTTATTAAAAGCTTACATTTTAAATGATGTAGATAGTAATCTATTTAAATTGAAGACCTAAAAATTGAATCAATAACCAATTAAATTAATGGAATTAATTAGTGGGTATCTTTGCGAGATGCCAATATTCAAAGTTGTTCGACAAGAATAATTTGTCCGGAAAAAAGGGTACTTTGGTTTTTTTTCTTCCTTTTTAATTTATTTTAATATAACAAATGGGTTTTTCTTTTTATGTGGACTATTTCTTTTTGGGGGTGTTGGAATTTCAACTCATGAAATGATTAGATTACCATGCATGCATCAATTCAAGCAATCCCATCCATCCATCACCAATCAGAAAGGAGAGCTTGATGCTATGGGATTTTGACGCGTCATGCTCGGATTTTGAGATTGTCACAGGCTTTACATCAAATCAACTCATCAATCTGCATGCTTAGGTCCATATCTTTATATATATTTGCTTTTTCTTTCTTTCTGTCTTTCATTTTGCCCAATTCCATGCTTTCTTTTTCTAGTTGTCAAGGCTTCTCTAACAGTAGTTACCTAAAAAAGCCAAAAAATCCCCCCATGATCTTCTCCCATTTTGGCCACCCCCTCAAGTTCTTCAGTTTTTCACCCTTTGGGGGCCTATCCCCGTCATGCATTTACGGCTTCCCCCCTGCCCCCCCTTCTCTTCTTCTCCTGTCCCTTCTTCGTAATGCTAACCCAAGCATCTGGCTTTCCCCCAGCCACCAACCTTTGCCTTTCTTTTCTTCACGATTGGCCCTATGCAAATCCATGAAAATACTCACTTTATTTTAATAACACTGAACATTTCCAACGCCTACGAGTTATCTACCTCTTCAAGGTTAAAGTGTCATTGATGAAAAGTTTGAAAGGGAAAATGAATGTAATAGGTAGGGACTAGGTTAACGGAGTGACGAGTGCTGATATAATTATTTTTTACATAAAATTTTAAATTCTTTCTTGATTAATAAAATTATATTTATGTTTAGCAAGTTAATTATTTCCATGTTTATATATATCAATAAAATGTTGGCATGACTCTGTAAATTAATTTATAACACTAACCATATATTAAGTTATTTTAATTAATTTTTTTAATCATCAAATGTCTTTTGGATAATATCATTTAATTAAAACTTAATTTTTAAATAAAAGGTGATGATATTATCAATAATTGAACCGATTGGTTCAGTTTTATCCTATCCCATTCCAACCAAATAAGTGTTCGTTCACCAGTTATGTAGTTTGTCTTCTTTACTAAAGACACACCCTTTTATAACCAGAGAATGGCAGTTGACTTTTAAATAAAATCCACAAAAGGTAAAAATTCTTTCACAGGAGGAGAAAAATTGAATTAAATTAAAAAAAAAACTTTAAATTTTGTTAATCATTATTTTTTTAAAATAAAAATTTATTTTAAAATCAAACGGGGAAAAAAACAAAGTAAAAAACAAAAGGCTCATGAACCGAGAGATTACCTAGCGGATCGCGCGTGACGACATGGTGAAGTAAGCCGCGCCGCCCTCCACCTACGGCGTTTCGTAGTGCGAGTCAGGGTCCCACTCGTTTATTTTCCCTCTTTATTTTGGCTCACCCGCTGCCTCCCTTCCGCTAAAATGCGCCCCTCCCAGGTGCATTACGCACATCCCCAAGTCTCCCCAATATAGGCTATAAAGCGTAGATTTTTTCATATATATTTTGTACAGTAGCAGTACCAATAATGGGACCCGTACGCCTCTGATCGTGACACGTCAACGTCCATTGTGGGTTCAGGTGACGTGGCGGGATCTTAGGTGGGGTAATTTTACAACCTGGAATTGATTGCCTGTACTTCAATAATTCGATTCGTTCCTGCAATTTTTCACATGCACGAATGGATAACTTTCTTTCTTTCTTTATTTTTTTTTTCATATTTGGATTTTTTGAAAAAATCACTAATTCCTTAAACCGAAATCATATCCTTTAATTATCATTAAATCAAGCATTTTTCATAACATTACCATAACATTAAGTGATATTTTCATGTATGGTTCTAACATATAATTATTTAAATTTAGGAACTCTGATTTAATTATTTATTATTATTGAATT